TGTTAAGAGGCCAATGAAGGGCCATGGAGACTGGCCCTGCCGCCTGCCTGCTAGACCCATGTGAAGGCTGTTTCCTCCTCATCACCCCAAGGAAACTGAGGCTCAAGAAGAGATACCATCTGCCTGACTCTCACAGGAGGGCCTGGGCTGCCATCAAACCAAGCAGGGTGCATTCGATATCTTAATTTCTCTCTGCTACACCGTAGGCCTCCCAGGCCAAGGGAAAGGAGAAGACATGGGTGAGCCCCACCCCACATGAGGAGGGGAGAGCCGAAGTTCCAAGGAGGGTGGGAATGGTGGGGGAGGGGAAGAGGAGGCAGGTGTCTGTGGGATCCTCTATCTTCCCCTTCCTCAGTCCTCTATCCTCCACCCAAGTGGGCCCCTGACCCCCCCAACCCTGTTCTCATCTGGCCTCCATGTGCTTGGCCTGCACCTGAATACACACTCCCCAACGATCTGTCTTGGGCTGTCAGAGGATCAATGGGGCTCCCAAGACCTGGCCCAGCAGGGAGCTGGAGGGAAGTCCCTAACAAGAGCTAAGAAGGGGACCCCGGGGGTTGGGGAGGCAGTGGGGAGAAGCCAGGCTGGGAACCGTGACACGAGTTTGGGTCTGGCATCTTGCTGGGGCAAGCCCCTGGAAGTCCTGGTTCCCCAGTGGTGAGACCTGTCAACTCCCTTATCCAGGGGTCCTGGACTGGCTTCCAAGTCTGTTTGCCTTCTAACTTTGGGCACCTGGCCCTTCCTCACTCTGGGCCTCAGTTTCCTTATTTGTGAACATGAAGGGATCGCATCTCAGGGGGCATAAGTTTCTAAAATCAGCAAGAGATCTCTCTTTATGAGCAAAAGAAAATGGCCTCCAAAATGTGAAGTGAAATAAAGCAAGATGCAGAGCAATGCATATATTCACCTACCTTCCGTGTGCATAAAACTCTAAAAGAGGATACAGGATCCACGTGTGTATCAGCCTGCCTGTGCGTGGAAAAATCTGGAAGGACACAGGAAACAGCAAGAATAGGGATGGCACAGGGAAAGGACCTGAGTGGCTGGGGAGAGAGTAGGAGGGAGACTTGCCTTACATTCTTTTATATTGTTGAATTATTGGTCCATACTCATGTATTCTTGGTCAAATAATAATTACATTTAATGCAAAATATATCATCCTGCTAGGAAGTATGTGGGTAGGAAGTATGAAGAAAAGCAGAATACTTGCATAGTCTCATTGTATCTCCCCCACAGATATTTATTAATTACAAAGAGAAAAACAGTGCCTCTACAGTGGAGAAAACTGGCAGACAGCACCTTAACCAAGCGATCAAGGCGAACATCTCTAGCAAGGGGGCAAATCGACATCATGTGTCCCCTGATAGGGACACACTGCAAAGTACACAGCATCACTGTGGTGGTTTTGTAGCCCAGAGTGCCTGATCTGAACCTAGTCATAAGGAAATAACAGAAACACCCAACTAGGGGGACCGATTACAAAACAACCCGTCTATGCACATGAAAAAATGTCAAGTTCATAAAAGTAAAACACACACACACACGCAAAAACAAAACAAAACAAAACAAAACAAAAAAACTGAGAAACTATTCCAGATAAAAGGAAGCTAAAGAGACATGAAAACTAAATGCAACATGTATCCTGGATTGGATACTGGATCAGAAAAAAATGTTTTTTGTTTGTTTGCGGTGAAGGATATTAGTGCAACAATTGGCAACATTTGACTAAGTCTATAATGTAGACAATAGTATTTCAACAATGTTAATGTCCTGACTTTTGTATCTGTCCGGTGGTTTTATTATAGAATGTTCTTGTGTTTAGAAACTATACATGGAATAATTTAGAGATAAAGAGGCATCCTGTCTTCAGTTTACTCTTAGACAGACAGAAATGTAAGCAGAGATAGAATGATAAAGCAAGGGTAGTAAAATGTGAACATTTGCGGAATCTGTGTGAAGGTATGCAGGAATTCTTTGTACTATGTTTGCAACCTTTCTGTAAGTCTGAAATTGTTTCAAAATAAAAAGTCCAAGTATAGATGGAGGTCATGGCATGGCTAACATGGAGTAGATATACATGATGTCCAGGTACTATTATAAATGTGCGGATGAAATTCACCCTGTGTGCCAAGCCCTTGCACACCACATCTGCCTACTAAATGGTAGTATTGTCTATTAATATAATGGAATATTATATTAGTGAAAAAGAACTTCAGCTGCCTGCCTCAACACAGATGGATCTTTTTTTTTTTTTTAAAGATTTTATTTATTTATTTGAGAGAGAGAGAATGAGAGAGAGCACATGAGAGAGGGGAGGGTCAAAGGGAGAAGCAGACTCCCTGCCGAGCAGGAAGCCCGATGCAGGGCTCGATCCAGGGACTCGATCCAGGGACTCCAGGATCATGACCTGAGCCGAAGGCAGTCGCTTAACCAACTGAGCCACCCAGGCGCCCAACACAGATGGATCTTCAAAGCATATTGTGGAAGGAAAAAGCAAGGAAGATAGGATACATATTATAAAGACAAATGTATATATTATATCATGGGCATTCTATACTTCTCAGAATGAAACACAGTCCTATATATTGTGTAAGGATTTCTATGTATGTAGTAAAGTTAGAAGATTCATGGGAATAATAAATAATCAGGATAGTGGTTTCTTTGGGGTGGGGAGGGAGACTCTTATTGGGAAGGGCTGCAGGGGCCCTTCTGTATTAGCTATCTATCCTGTGTAACAACACCGCAGCATGATGCTTTAAAACAGCGACATTTATTGTATCTCATAGTGTCTGAGGGTCAGGAATTTGGGAGTGGTTTAGCTGGGCAGTTCTGGTCCTCAGGAGGTTGCCTTCAGATGTCAGCTGGGGCTGCACTCATATGAAGGTCTGACTGGGGCTGGAGAACCTGCTGCCCAAAGAGCTCATGTACGTTGCTGGCAAGTTGGTGCTGGTGGTTGGCTTGGGGCAGAGGGCAGGAGAGAGGAGAGGGACTCAGTTCCTTTCCACATGGGCCTCTCCATGGGACCTGGATTCCATCACATCATGGTGACTGGATTCCAAAAGTGAGCACTGACAGACTGGGTGCCTGCCCCTTTGAAGTTCTCCCAACCATTCCTGTCCCCTAACACCTGGCTCTTTTCCCCAGAAGCATCCACTTGGATTCGTTTCTGGGATATTCTTCCACAGAGATACCACTTATTTATAAATGTATATGCAGGGGCGCCTGGGTGGCTCAGTTGGTTGAGCTTCTGACTCTTGGTTTTGGCTTGAGTTATGATCTCAGGATCATGAGATCGAGCCCTGCATCGGGCTCCAGCAGGGAGTCTCCTTGAGATTCTCTCCCTTTCCCTCTGCCCCTCCCCCTGCTCACACACAGACTCTCTCTCTCAAATAAATAAATAAATCTTAAAAAAAAAATACAAAACAAACATATATGCAAATACATACAGTTTTATTCCCCCCAAGTGGAAGCCTATTATATACACCCTTCTACATCATTTCTGCCCCTCATGCAAATATGCTTTGCAGATTCTTACATATTCCTACATGGGAAACTTCGATATTTGTTTTCATGGCTTAATCAGTACACCAGCATGTGGATGTGATGTACTTTACTCAACAACCCTCTATTTATGGACATTCATTTTGTTTACCTGTTATCACTTAAGCTTCAAATGTACAGGGTTGAGCTTTAAAAAAAAATGGGGGGCGCCGGGGTGGCTCAGTCATTAAGTGTCTGCCTTTGGCTCAGGTCATGAGTCCTGGGATCGAGCCCCATATCGGGCTCCCTGCTCAGCGGGAAGCCTGCTTCTCCCTCTCCCGCTCCCCCTGCTTGTGTTCCATCTCTCTCTGTGTCTCTCTAAAAATAAAAAATAAAAAATAAAAAAATAAATGGTCCTCAGTTCACGGCAGATTATCGTTGACCCCTGCATGCCCCTCCTTTGGTCTATTTTTCTCTCCTATTCTCTTTGTCCCATTTCCCCTTCTCATTTTCTGCTCCACCATAGAACCATTCTGATGGGTCCCATGTGTTCCTTGGTGAGTCAGTCTTCTTGAAGAACACGGGATGCTTGTATGGGTATTGTTGCTTTCTGGATATGCATTTTATTTATGTATTTTTTCAAAGATTTTATTTATTTATTTGACAGAGAGAGAGACAGCGAGAGCAGGAACACAAGCAGGGGGAGTGGGAGAGGGAGAAGCAGGCTCCCCGCCGAGCAGGGAGCCCGATGTGGGACTCGATCCCAGGACCCTGGGATCATGACCTGAGCCGAAGGCAGACGCTTAACGACTGAGCCACCCAGGCGCCCCTGGATGTGCATTTTAATTGATTTTCACTCTAGTGCTCATTCTCTGTCCAACATCGGTCTGGGTTGCGCTTGACTTGTGGCTTCTAGATGCTGACTAGAACTCCTTGGTTTGCAGCCACATGTTTTCCTCCCTGCTACTCCAGGAACGGGCCCCTGGGTGGTCTCTAAGTCTCTGCCACCACACTGTCACCACACTGGTGTGTCCTTGTCTGGGCTGGCATGAGGCTCTCATCTGGACAAAGACTCAGGAATACGATTGGTGGGTGATAGGGAGTATGTATTCCGGTTATCTTCTGCACTACCATCAATTACCCTCAATTTAGAAGCTAAACACAACACTTTGTTTTATTCTTGATTTTGTGGGTCAGGAATTCAGGAAGGGCTGGGCTGGGCTGCTCTTCTCTGAACTGTGTGGGGTCCGCTGAGGCAGCGGGGGTTGGAGGTTCCCTTCCAAGATGGCTGGCTTCTTCACTCACGTCTGCGGCCTTGATGGACTTGCTCTTTCTCTCTCTGTCTCTGTCTCCCTCTCATGGTGTCTCATCCTAGAGGACACCGCTCCATAGCTAGCTAGACTTCCTCACAGCATGGCAGTCCCAGGGCGGTTGGATTTCCTTCATGGCAGCTGGCTTCTCTCCAAGTGATCATTCCAAGAAAGAGGAAGTAGAAGCTGCTAGTCTTTTTTTTTTTTTTTTTTAATATGGAACACTTCACGAATTTGCATGTCATCCTTGCGCAAGGGCCATGCTAATCTTCTCTGGATCGTTCCTATTTTAGCGTATGTGCTGCTGAAGTGAGCACAGAAGCTGCTAGTCTTTTGAGATCTGGGCCTAGAATCTGTCACAGCATCGTTTCTGCCATAGTATTGGTCAAAGCAGTCACAGGGCAGCCCAGATTCAGAGAGGAGGTGCACAGACTTCACCTGTTGCTGGGAAGACATTCAGAGAATCGGTGGTCATCTTTTAGACACTGCCATGTATATTTAACGTGACAGCTTGCTCTCCAGATGGCTGCCCTGTCCCCACTTCTGCAGCACTACCTCCACGCCCCCACCCACACTTGGCTCCATGAAACCTGTTCAGTTCCCTCTTTGCACGGCAAGAAGCATCCCTGTATCTGGGTCATCTCACCCAAGTGCAAATATAACTGGAGGATGAAGTCCCAGAGGCCAATATGCTAGGTGAATGGCTATGTGCAGTTGCAGTTTTGACAGATACTGCCCACTCTTCAATCACCTCTGAGCGCCATCTCTCAGTGACAGATAGGGAGTCTGAGCACCCCTCCCCACCTCTACCCACCCCTCGCTGGAACAAGTCACCCTCCCCGGGCTCCCAGCTTTTGCCCTGGACCCCACAGTCCATTCTCCACCTGCCAGCGGAGGGGGTCCCCTTAAAACCTAAGTCAGAGCTTGTCCCTCCTCTGCTCAGAAGCCTCCGATCACCTCCCACATGACTCAGAGTAAAACGTTCTTGAGACTGCTCTGAAGCCCTGTGTGTCTGACCCTGTGACCTCTCTCACCTGTTCCTTCTGTCCTCCCCTTCTCTGTCCCACCCGGGGCTCCTGGCAAGAGTTTGAACCTGCCATGCATGCTCCATCTCAGGGCCTTCCATTTAATGTCCCTCCACCTAAAAGGTTCTCCCCCTCTGTGTCCCCATGGCTCATCCTCACTCCATCTGTGCCTCCAACCAAACCTCACCTCTCCCACTCAGGGTCTTCTCACTACCCTGCTTTGCTTTCTTCTGAACATTTCTTCCCCAACATGTGGTCGATCAAGTTGTATATTCGTGTATTGCCCATCTCCTCTCCAGATCGTAAGCACAGGGCAGAGGGATTTGGTTGGATTTGCTCACTGCAAATCCTCCCCACCAGTGCGACACCTTTCATTTAGTCTCTACAAATATAGCTTGAATATTTGTGGAATTCAATCACTGTGCCAATTTGCACGCCCCGCCCCAGCAATGTACAGACCTCAGGAACATAAATTAACCCAAACACACTGCCAGATTCCTATCCTTGAAATTCATGCTTCCCCTGCTCAAGAGCCTTCAAGGACTTCCTATTACCCTGTTTAGCACATCTCACACTGGAACCCAAAACCGTTTCATACAGGGCTAAGTGTTTCCCCAGCCTTCTGAAAAGAAGCTCATGCATGAGATTACCCCAATGTTAAGTTTTCCCTTTATCCATTTCTCTAACCTTATTGGCATGGACTCCCACTTACCCCCAAAAAACACTAAAGGATAAAAGGAGATAACTCACAAACAGTGAATTCACTGGCTGGGGCTCCTACTGGTGTAATGAAACTCATCCCAGCTCTGGGACAATAAACATGACAATTGATAACTTGAACCAAGTACTTTCTACCAGCTAAGCCTCAGTTTACCTATTGGTGGAATGAAGATAGTAACACTCTTCCATATGATAGCCTTGCTACTTGCTAAGTGCCAGGCACTGGGCACATTTTAATGCACTCAATCCTCATGGCAACTGTAAGAGGCCGGAGCTATTATTATTCTCCTTTCCCAGAAAAGGAAACTGAGGCATAGGACAATTAGCCCGTCTAAGTTTCTATAACTTGGGAGTGGTGAGGCCCGGATTTGAACTCCCAACACACCCACTCCCAGGCAGGCTTCAAGGCCAGGTATTTACTCTTGTGGTATATTTTAGGGAAGAAGTGTGCTCATGGGTATGGATCGCCGGAGGCAATGGGAGGAGGTGACCTTGTGCGTGGGAGAGAGTCTCTAGGACCAAACTGAAATGTACACAAAAGGCACAGGGCTGAAGTTGTGCTATGTGGAGTCCATGGTCATGGTCCCCTCTGGGACATGAACTGAGGCACCTGGGCTCCCAGATGGCTTCTCAATAACATTTTATTTTCTACCATTGTTAGAATAATTATGGTTAATAAAAGCAAGCAACTGTTGCATGTTTACTGTGTGCTAAGAATTTCCTTTGCATTTTGAATCTCTCAACAACCCTAGGAAAGTAGTGACTCGCATTCACCCCATTTTGCAGGCGATGAGACTGAGCTTGGTGGCAGAGCTAGGTTTGTTCCTTGTGCCTTTACCCCCTAATGGGTCCATGGAACACCTCCATTTCCCAAGGACTTTCATTCATTATCTCATTCAACTTCACAGTCATGCCTTGAAATCCATCCTCCTATCATTCCCATTTTGCTGACAAGAAAACTGAGGTGCAGTGTGCTGCTCAGGGCTGCACACAGTTCTCTGCAACGGATCTGCCCTGCCTCACCTCCCCCAGCAGCATCCAGGATGTCACAGATGGAAGGTCCCCGATTTATAGCACAGGAAGGAGCAAGTCAAGGCCTCTGGGGCAGTGGGCAAGGTTCGCAGGCAGTTGCCCAGAGATCCTGTTTACTGGCAGGACCGGAGGCACACGGACCCAGGAGGAAAGCCCCCCCTCCCATCCTCAGGGTTCCTTGGGTGGTGGTGGGGGGGGCGGGCAGCAAGCTGTCACTTCCATGGAATGTCCTCCAGCCCTGGTGCATTGGCTCAACCCAACCTCTCCACCCCTGCTCTTTCCTGATCCCCATCTGCCTCCCCACCTGGACAGCCCCACGTCTGGGCTCCTGCAGCTCATTCATTCAGCAAAGCTTCGCTGAATGTCAGGTGCTATTTTAGGCACTGGGGTTACATTTGAGAATATACAGTGATCCCTGCCCTGTAGTGTTGATACTCTGCAGCAGGGAAGAGACAATAAATAATAAATACACTAAGTAAAGTATATAGGGTGTTAGACCGCTATAAGGGCCATGGCAAAATAAACAATAAAGCAAGGCAAGTAGTTTGGGAGTGAGGAGGAGGGCTCATGGGGTTAAACAGGGCAGGCCTCACTGAGAATGTGACTTCCGAGCAGGGACTTGAACAAGATGAGTCAGTGAACCAGGCAATACCTAAAGGAAGAGTGTTCCAGCAGGGGAGTGCCATCCACAGCAAATGCAAGGGTCCTGAGGCAGAATGTCTGGTGTATGAAGAGTAGCAAGGAGACCAGTGTGGCTGGAGAGACTTCAGTAAGGGGAGAGGGTGGGAGATAGGACAGAGGGGTAATAGGGTGGCTGAGAGGACAGGTCACATGTGGGTCATCATAAGGATCTGGCTTTTACTCAGAGTGAACTGGGAGCCAAGGGATGGTTTTGTGCAGAAGAGGGACACTGTCTGATCTGTGCATTGCAGGACTTGTCTGGCTGCTGTGTCGAAGACACACTGCAGAGGAACCAGGGAGGGAAATGGAGAGATCAAGGAGCCCTGTGAGGAGATGGTTGCAATAATCCTAGTAAGAAATGCAGGTGACTTGCCCAGGGTGGTAGTAGTGTTCCAGTTAGTACTGCTGTGTAAAAGACTACCTCAAAACTCAGTGACTTAACACAACAACCATTTTATAATGCTCGTGAATTCGGGCCAAGTGTGGTGGGGATGGCTGGTCTCTGCTCTGTGGTGTCCTGAGCCTCCGCTGGAAGACTCAGAGGCTGGATGTGAATCAACAACTGAGGGCTGGAATCACCTGGAGACTGCTGGACCAGGACTGCCCAGGACCTCTCTGGGCGGCCGGGGCTTCCTCACAGGATGGTGGTCTCAGAGGGCTTGAACTTCTGTCACAGAAGCTCAGGGCTCCAAGAACAGGTGTTCCAGTGAACAAGGTGAAGCTACACCATTGCATCACCTGTTACGACTCAGCCTCGGAAGTCACACAGAATCACTTCCGCCAACCTCCAGTGGTCAATGCAGGCTCAAGCCCACCCAGACTCAAGTGGAAGGCACGGGGCCTCCATCTCTCAGTGCGGCCATGTTCTAAAACTGCTATGAGCACCTAGAATCTTCAAGGCAAGTAGAAAGTTTCCTTTGTTGGCTGATGCAGGAGGCACAGGGAAGAATTAGAAGTGGCTCTGGTCACCCAGGACTCAGCCCAGTAAGCAAGCATATAGGCAGCCAGAGAGGAGCCCCAATCTGGCTCGGCTAGTCAGGGCAGGCTTCCTGGAGGAAGAAACACATGAGCTAAGTCTTAAAGAGTGAGGGATCAACCAAGAGAAACGGGAGAGGGCACCCAAGGCCAAGGAGAATCAGGGTCACTCATATTGGGAGGCAGAAGGATGGACGCTTGAGAGGTGGGTTCTGGCATCAACTGTCTGGGTTTGAATCGGGCCCTGCCCCTTCGAGTGGGCGACACTGGGCTGGCCACCTCACCTCGCTGCGTCTCAGTTTACTGTAAAATCAGAGTGATAATAATTGTACCGCCTTCCTGGGAGGAAATGCATGCAAGGTGCCTGCTAGATAGAAAAAAGCCTCAAACTGTCAGCTCTGACTAGGAAATTACAGGTGGTGTTCATCTCGCTCAGGATCCCTGGGTTCTCAGAGGAGGAAATGGGAAGAGACTTGGCCAACCCCACCAAGTTTAGAAGGGGAGGACCTGAATCATACCCTACTGACCTGCCACGGCCGGACCCCTCCCTGCCTGTGCTCACTCCTCACCCCCCAAGTTCACTTAGGGGAAAGGGTGTCCTTCTTCCTTGAAATCCTGTGAGGCCTCTAGAGGGGATCCCCTGACCTAGAGGTGGAGCCTTGAAGATGGAGCAGTCTCTGCCCCTGATAAGGGCTCCCCCACCCCCCCATCCCCCTC